AAAAATGTAATACAAGGGCAACAATTTGAACATCTTCTAAAAACTTAATGTTTTGTTATAATTAATCATATTTTGCATCATACCATTAAAATGTAATTGTTGAAGTATTTATCATTGTTTTTGCAAAAGTTACGTTGGCGCTTTGTGAATAATTTGCGTGCATTGTCGGCTTTTAGATGCATTTGCACTGGAATCATTGCTTCTAGCGACTTGGACAAGGTATACCTTTCTTAAGTATAAAAGAAGGGATAACAATTTTTTTCCGTCGAAAATGACATACAGAGTATAGCAAAAAATTTACGACCGATTCAATAGGGATGGAACCCTGTATGTAGCGCCCTCTATCAGTCATCACAAAGCTAAGATCATATTTGAATTGAGCATGATGAAAAAACCCTGTATACCACATTTTATCCATTTCTTGCGTCTCTGGCTAAAGATCTTCAAAGAGAACCCAAAAAAAAAATTAAATTCAACACCCCGTATCTTTTAACCGAAAGCCTTGAGGACCCATGTTTATAGGAACTTTTTTTCTTATTTTAGTATCCTCTATTGTATGGCACTATGCAATGTACTTTTTTCTATGTCACCCTGTATGATGTATATAAAACTAACAAATATTTTAAAAAATGAAGATCCTTTGATGTGGAGGGAAAAGGGGAAAAATAACTTTTCACTACTGTATAAATGTGCAATTATATATTTAGCACCACCACCCAGTAGTGTAGCGAGCGAACAGCTATTTTCTTCAGCTGGAAACGTATACGAGGGCGCTAGAAATCGACTAACGCCTGAAAGAGCTGAAAATTTAATTTTATTACATTATAATTTACCGAAACTCAATTTTAAATATTAATATTCGTTTTGTAAGTATTTTTTTTAGAATCAAAAATGATTTTTGGTATTTTTTTAGAATTTCATGTTGGTTTTTAAATATTTTGTGTTCAATATTTAGTTTCTTTCTTAGAATTTATGTTTGTTTTTTAATATTTTTGAGTAAATATGTATTATTTTAAACAAAATATATTTTTTCTACAAACGTCAAAAAATGACAAGGTTCGCGCATTGATAACAAATTGCGAAGTGACACTTTTTTCAGTTTCCTACGTTACCATGATTCCTTGCACAAAAATGCGCGAAGTAAAACAGTGCGCGAAGTACCTACTTCGCGCATTGTTGTGTAAAATATATGAGATATTTATATTTCAACTTCATGGTCCTCAATCGAGCAGACATCCACAAAATCATTTATTTCTGAATGTTCAACAATAGCTTTGTTTCTTTTCTTGGAGCGCACGAAAGGAAATTCCTATTATGTTCGTGGAACATCGTGCGTACCTAGGGAGGATAGGTGGAGATCTTTCAAGCCAGTTCAACACTATTTTTCATATCAAGCTAAGCATATTTTCACTTTAGAACTATATTTTTTGACGTTTGTAGAAAAAATTTTGTTTGCAACTCGAGCGCGAAATACTTTGGTCATCTCGACTATTTTTTTAACTCGGCTACGCCTCGTTAAAAAAATCAGATCTCGATCACCAAAGTAGCATTTCGCGCTCTAGATACAAAAATAACTATTTTGGGGGTTTGTTTTTGTGTCTTTTTTTCTTTCTGGTAAAAAGTTACACCATTTTAAAGACTATTATATTTCATTTTATTATTACTAATTCGATACCGATATAGGCCGATATTGCCTCTTCATATCGGCCGATACCGATATCGGCCAAACACGCCGATATGGCCGATATACCGATATCGGTATCGGTCGATCCCTAGTATAAATGCTGAGATGCGTTTACGTTTTGTCAGGTTCGCACCAGATAGCGGTCAAGAAGCTATCTGGGACAGCCCTGTACTGATGAGGAGAGCCAACAGCTCGAATCCGGTCTGCAGGTAGTCACGCATTCCTGAACCACTTGAGCGCAGTTCAGCGTTTAGGAAGGAAACACTTGCGATTTTATTCGTTTATACGAACTATTGCATAGATTTCGGGAGGATGTAATCCAATGTTCTGCGTGGCATATAGCCAGGAAAGTAGTTGTTTTTCTCACGTTATCTACCATTTTCGTTCATTTCATGAACTAGTGTGGTTATGACTTTGAGTTTCTCTCTCTTTGTGACCATTGCATTCCACTTTGAGTATTTGGATTTTTCCTAGTTGAATTTTCCCGAAGTTTTTCGGTTCTGGAAAGTTTGTTGCTTCCTTGCAACATACTAAAATACCAGAATGGCGTATTTTGGGGTCGAAAATTGCTACGAGAAAGTAGGCACTTAGGCGATATCAGTAAAATGTTTTATCGATTGTCACTAAATTTTGAGGTGTTGAAGATTATTTTATTGCATATCGAGAAAACTAACAAGATAACCCATGGACATCTGATAGTTATCAACTGGACATCCTTCATGAATCCTATGTATGTACTATGGACATCCAATTTATATCCAAGAAATATCTTATGGACGTCCGATGACTGACTGAAGCGCACCAACCTGTACATCCATATGGATTACCTTCAAGGATATCCATAATATATTCTCCAAAGATATCTTTTGAAGATATCAATGAGATATCCTTCGATGATATCCATGAAACATCCTCCAATAATCATCCATAAAATATCCTTCAGGAATGTTCATAAGACATACTTCAAAGATATCCATAAAATATCCTTCAGGAATATATCCATAAGATATATACTTCATGGATATTTATAGCATATCCTTCAGGAATATCCATGAGACATACTTCAAAGATATCCATAAAATATCCTTCAGGAATATCCATGATATACTTCAAAGATATCCTTCATAGACGTCCGAGAGATATCCTTCGAGGAAATACATAAGAAGATAAGTGATGGTGATCTAAACTAGACACATTCAATAAGGAAAATCTAAATCAAAAATGAAGTTGTCAACAAATCAAAAGTAGAAGTCAACAGTGTTTGTGAATCCTGAAGTGTCTTCTGCCAATCGGCCCATTTCCATCCATGCTCTTTCATATAAGTGGGGATCAACCTTTTGTATCTTGGTTTATTCACATTCATTTTGTTATCACGCACCACACACCTACACATGCATATATGCTCAAATCCAGAAACAAAAGGAAATATATGAGTATTCCGTCAATGGTTTAGTTCGTGTACAAGTGTGGAGAAAACTCGGAATCATTCATAATGGTTGCGGATATCCATGAGATATTTATTGATGGATACCCATTTCATCTTCTTCGATGGATATCTTATGGATATCCATTTCAAATCCAGAAAGTGAACAAAAAATATGAGTATTCCGTAAATGGTTTAATTCGTGTACAAGTGTGAAGAATTCAGGAATTTAAACTATCAAAATAATCTTGAAATTCGAGAACATTCATAGTATTTGTGGTTATCTTATATCCATAAGATATCTACTGAAGGATATCCATTTCAGCTCCTTCGATGGATATCTTATGGATATCCATTTCAAATCCAGAAACAAAACGAAATACATATTAGGTATTCCGTCAATGGTTTAGTTCGTGTACAAGTGTGGAGAAAACTCGGAAATTTGAACTATTGAAATAATTTTGCAATTTAAGAACATTCATAATTTTGGCGGATATCTCATGGATATCCATAAGATATCTACTGAAGGATCTTCATTTCAATTCCTTCAATGTATATTTTATGGATGTCCATTTCGAATCCAGGGATATCGCGACCAAAATTGGACATGAAATGGATGTCCATAATTATTATTGTAATATCACTTACCCCTTTGAGAACGCAATAATCAAAAATATTCGCACAATGCGCATTACGAAACTATGACAAAAGTCGAGTCAACAAGACAAGAACACACAAGAAAATGCCGAGTTATCGGCCCTTTTGGCTTTTGGCGGATAAACGTCAAAAAACGTCATTGAATCACTATCGACCCCAACAATGATTGCTTCTATAGTTTGTTTATTAATAATCACAACGAAACAAGAAAAAGGAAGTTGGTGGATTACGGAATTTGAACAGACGGATTATTTGTTGCATGGCATCCTTATGGCACGGCGGCCCGTTTCATGTGGTATTGAATCAGGAATTTACACTTACAAAATCAATCTTGCAAATTGAAAACATTCATAATTGTTCTGGATATCTTATGGAAAGCCTTAAGATATCTACTGAAGGATATCGATGTCCACTCCTGCGATGGATATCTCATGGATGTCCATTTCAAATCCAGTAGGAGAACAAAGAATCAGATCTAATTCCAAAAAGCTTCAATCTATGTTCGGATACAAGAGAAACTCATAAATTGACAATATCAAAATCTATCTTGCAAATTGAACACATTTATAATTGCTGTAGATATCTTATGGACATCCTTAAGATATCTACTGAAGGATATCCATGTCGAATCCTGCGATGGACATCTCATGGATGTCCGTTTCGAATCCAATAGGAGAACAAAGAATCAGATCTGTTTCCAAAAAGCTTCAATCTATGTTCGGGCACAAAGAGAAACATAAAATTGACACTATAAAAATCGATCTTGCAAATTGAACACATTCATAATTGCTGTAGATAGCTTATGGACATACTTAAGATATCTACTGAAAGATTTCCATGTCGAGTCCTGCGATGGGTATCTCATGAATGTCAATTTCAAATCCAGTAGAACAACAAAATATTAGATCTATTCCCAAAAAGCTTCAATCTATGTTCGGACAAAGAGAAACACATAAATTGACACTATCAAAATCGATCTTGCAAATTGAACACATTCATAATTGCTGTAGATATCTTATGGACATCCGTAAGATATCTACTGAAGGAAATCCATTCCAAATACTTCAATGGATATCTCATAGATGTCAATTTCAAATCCAGGGATATTCCGACAAAAATTAGACATGTAGAGAATATCCATCGGATGTTATCTGGTTACCTTTACTTGTCATCAATCTATGCATGGCTAATCATTCATGACTAAGAATAACCTTACTGTATATGTTGTTTTTTCAGATAATAATTATGGCTGAATCATTGGAACCACAGATTAACAAGGAACTTCAAAATGCGATGAATGCGATCCTGTCAAAGAAGTGCTGCTTGTGCAATAATGTTTTATCAGTGCCTCCGATAATGATACTTTCCCAAGATGGAGCACAATCGAAGTGCGGGAGATGTAAGAACAACATGGATAGACCAGCGACTTTTCGAAATTATACTTTCGAAAATCTAGCGAAGTTCTCATCATTTCCTTGCATATACAAGGATTGCAATAAAATGATTCCGTGGGAAGAGGTGGAAAATCATGAAGACGCTTGTGATAAAAAGATGATTAAATGTCCATATTATCATTTCCAAAGCTGTAAGCGAAATGTAGAGTTACGGAAATTGGAGGAGCACTGGAAAAGTCATGAAATGAATATTCATCTTTCAACATATAACTCCATATTATCTATCATTGGTGCAGATTCACAGCTTTTAATACATGAAAATCACCTTTTCATCACAATGATTTTAAATGAAAAAGATGTTTTAAAGATATATGTTGCTTCTTTGAAAAAAATCAATACATGTTTTACATACAATTTGAAATTGTCCAGCACAAGGTCTGATGACATATTTGTGATTTATGTAAATCAAAAAATCGACAAATACAATGAGATGGATCATTGTTTTACATGTTTGTATTATCGATATTTGTATTCTCGATGTGGTTTGAGAGGCTATCCGCACACAAAAAGGCAAGGCAGTATGTATGTTGATGATGATTTCAAAAAAATTGATCTTGCTGTTTTAAAACCACTTTTAGGTGAGCTTTCCAAGATCAAAGTCGACATAACAATCGTCTCAAAGAACGAATATAAGGATAACAACAAAGCCAGCGATACTGCAACAGTAGACATTCCTAAGAATGATGTGAACATCGTTGATGAATGTTTGGAAAAGTTTAAAAAGCAGTTACAGTGTCCCATATGCATGGAGTATATGATCGGTAAAATTTATAACTGTGAAAAAGGACATGTTTTGTGCGACACCTGCAAACTCCAACTGACTGAATGTCCTTCTTGTCGAGCAAATCTTGGAGAATCCAGAAGTTTTCCTTTGGAGAGTTTGGCTGATGAAGTAGTGCTAGCTTGTGTGTTTTCCAAAAACGATTGTAAGTTCACTGGAAAACTGAAATTGCTTTCTCCACACGAGAAAGAATGTGTACATAAATAGAGGAGTAATTAGGACTGAAGTAATCCTGATAGTGATTCATTAATAAAGTTGTATTCTTGATGTTCTTGTTGGTGTTCAATTATATATAGGTAGGTACATAAGATTTATTTAATGTTCATTCTGAAGCTCCCAATCTATCTTTTGTTGATGAAACCACATTAAAAAATTTTGTAGGTTTTCATCTTTATTATTCTTAAAGATTTTGCTATTTGAAAAAAGCATTGCCCATATGCAAGGTATGTCACGACAAGCTTATACACTATCTTTATATCGAGAATCATGTCTAGAGAAATCCATGATAATGTGCATGCTCATATTTCAGAATACGCTCTCTTCATTTGAAATATTTTCGACAATGCAGTGTTGCCGCTTCTACTAGAAAGTAGTAGCAACATTGATATTTCAAATGGAACACCCTGTATTCCATCGCATTTTTGAATTCCGTGAAGAGCTGATTTCATCTATGTATCACACTCGGGGTCTATCAAAAATGATTACAGAGATATAGGGTGTTCAAAATCAAGATTTTTCAACTTTAGGATTTTTTTTGTGTCGAAACTATTCATTATCGGTTGAAACGGCTCCCAACTTCTGATTCACTATAATTACTGAACAGATACAGGGTGGTTCAATATTCAGAATTCTGATCACCCTGTATCTGTTCCGATTAAATATCAGTAAATAGTAAATCGAAAGTTGAGATGGGGTATGTACCTACGCCGTTTTGGCCGATAATGAATAGTTTCGAGACAAACAAATCCTAAAGTTGAAAAATCTCGATTTTGAACACCCTATATAGCCCTGTAATCTCTTTCGATGGGCCCCTAAGTGTGATGTATCGATAAAATCAGCTGTTCAGGATGAATCTAAAAATGCAATGAAATACAGGAAATTCTATTTAAAATAACAAAGTTGTTGCTTGGTTTTTTTTAGAAGCGGCAGCACTGCATCGCTGGAAATATTTTGAATGAAGAGAGCGTATTCTAAATCTAAAATATGAGCATGCATATTTTCATTGATTTCTTCCGATACTGATTCTCGATATAGAGATAGTGTAAACTTGTCGTGACATACCCTGTATATAGAGGTCACGTGATGTGAAAATTAAAATGGCTGTTTCAAATAGGTATATAGGTACATATTTCACGTATTCTCTTTGCGATCTCCTGTTCCTGAGTTCGAACATAAATGAGTTGAACACGGTTGATACGTCTAACTGTCATTTTATTCATAGGATCAAAAATTGTTCTAAATGTATTTTTCTACATTCATGCAAAAAACAGAACTTTATTGAACTATATTTAGTGGAAAAAGAAGTTCTTTATTGCACTTAGTGCAATAAAGTTTTTATTGCACTCATCTGTCATTCTACTTCAACGTGCTGTCATCATGACAAACATTTTCTATAATGCAACTGTGGTTATAGAAACGTCAGTCAAAAATTAATTCTGACAATTAACAGAATTGTACCTAGTGCCGCACCTCAATAAATCATTTTTTGCTTTTTGCATGAACGTAGAAAAAATGTTGTATGCTACTCGTGCAAAAATTGTTTATTGCATTCGACGTGAAATTGTCCTACGAGGCCGTCAGGCACTTGTTGCATAAATAACTATAATGCCTGCTCATTTTTGTCAACAATAAGCTGTCAAATACTGTTCTTCTCAACAAATTCAAGTTCACATATTATGTCAGTGGTATGTACACATATTCATCCACATAGATTAGATTAGGAAAAATAATCTCATAAAAAGTTGAGAATAGTAAGTAGGTACGGTGTTACGTTGAACATTTTCATTTTCTCTATCGCAAGTGACTTAAACTTTTCAATCGTGATTTAGACATTTTTCGTGCATTATATGATCCATTATTTTCGCATCATTCTCAAGTTGTAATAGCATAAAGTATAAAGCATATCAATCATTCTTCCAACTTTGATAGTTAATATCAACCGTTGGCGAATAGCTATCATGTTGCGGTTTTTGTTGGTTTGTTGATATTTAGTTTCTCTATTATATCGTGTAATGATATGCATACCATTAGATTTGTTCTATCTCAAACTTGTTTCATTATTCGTCGCTGAGATATGGCCGACAGCCGTTCTTAGTTGTTCATCTGGTACCTACAGAAAAATGTGAGAGATCTGTCGAGATTAGATATAGCACCCCAAGCGATAAGATAACGAGTTCCTAAACGATTTTTTCCTCTAGAGAGTGATTCATTGGGAAATGCGCATACAGTACCCAGATAGCACAAGTACGTCCCAAGGACGTTCTGAAGCCGTCCGCTTCGGACATTCCAGACGTCCCGGGGACGTCCATTTTAAGTTTGGTGGACGTCTTTAGGACGTATTGGGGACGTACGATGTTACAAAATCGGAAGTCCCTAGGACATACGAATTAGGTCCGTTTCGGTCTAATCTGGACCATTTGGGGACATTTCGGGGACGTCTGAGGGACGTACGATTCAGGTAGGTTTCAGGTCTGAAGCCATTATTGGTCAAAAATAAAATTTACTGATTGAGATAATACATTATATAATATAATATATTGATAGAAGTTTACATGGCAATGAATATTGATTGAAGAACTTTCTTCTTTGGTTTTCTCAGACTTGCTCATCCTCTCAGCAGATCTCTTCAGTCAGCTCTATGTGGAGGCTTTGGTGGATTTATTATGATCCTTCGGTAGATTCATGATCCTTCGATATGACAGGTTTTTGCGCAGCTCCTTGAAGAAAAAAACATGAAAATTTGTAGTACTTTTCCTATCGATTGCAGTGTTTTCAACCAAACGATATATCGCGAGTTTTTTACACAGGAAAATGCTATATAATGCTCAAAGAGCATGAATAACTAGAGAAATAATTTCATCACAATTTTCGAAACCCCTTTTCTTGGTGAGTAGGTAACATTGAGCTTGAGGAAGTTGTGATCGTATTATGAGTTATGCATCAATATTAGACAGAATTCTTCACGGGACAGTGATAACTATCCCTGAAAACTATTTATGTGTTTTATATGAATCCAATGAAAGGTCCTTCCACTATGGGTGATAATAATATTGTACTCGATAATAAACTTACCTATATTACAATTTTCGATACCTACAGAGTGACCCATTTGAAAGCGGGCCACCCCTGTATCTCACGTAATCGTTGGGTAAGGATCATGAAATTTGCTGGAGCGAGATATATACCAAAAATGCACTCTATCACCAAGTGGGGTCATCTTCAGTGATATACACTGCTCGCCAACAGCCATGGAACCACCCCAATTTCCAGAAAATGATATTAGGAGTCAAAATTGGTTGAAAATCACTTTGGATTCGGAATCAGGACGCCCAATTCACCAACTCTTCATATTTTTCCTTGAAAATTTTCAGTTCTAAAAAATTAAATTTTGTCGCACTCTTCACGGAAGCACCCCCGTATCTCACGTAATTGACTTTATCTTTGGACTTTCCGTTCCTCCTGCAAATTTTAAAACCCTACCTCAATAATTATGTGAGATACGGGGGTGCTTCCATGAAAAGTGCGACAAAATTTAATGTTTCAGAACTGAAAATTTTCAAGGAAAACTATGAATAGTTAGTAAATTGGGCGTCCTGATTCCGAATCCGAAGTGATTTTCAACCTATTTTGACTCCTAATATCATTTTCTGGAAATTGGGGTGGTTCCATGGCTGTTGGCGAGCAGTGTATATCACTGAAGATGACCCCACTTGGTTATAGAGTGCATTTTTGGTATATATCTCGCTCCAGCAAATTTCATGATCCTTACCCAACGATTACGTGAGATACAGGGGTGGCCCGCTTTCAAATGGGTCACTCTGTATATGTTGACAAATAAGAAACTATCTGCTAATATTCCACAGCGTTTTCTTCTTTCAACTTCACATTATGCATACAATAACACCATAATACAAATAAGCGTCCACAGATGAGAATTTGCCAGAGAAGTAGATGGATGGGGAAAAAACAGTATATCATCAAAACTAAACAGTAGATTTTGATCATCATTACAATTTGCTATTATGGATGAGAAATAAAAAACATGAACACCCATATGAAAATGAAAAAGTAAAGGTTTGACAGAAATCAAATTAGAAATGGAAGTTTTTCTCTAATCAATCTGAATCTGATAACTTCAGTATATCATTAATTCTCTGTTACATGTGATATCAAAACTTGACGATTCCGCCTTGTAGATAAATATGTTTTCGAAAACCAACTGCTGGATGAATTAACTTATCACGCTGCATTGACTTCAGCATCAGCAAATTTACTTGAGAAAATATCCTCTTCACGTTTGCTGAAGAATGAGGCAAAATATAATAATAAATAATGAAGAACAAAATTTGTCAAGTTGGGAACAATTGGTGAATTGTTTATTTCTACATCCGCTTGTGTGAAATTCTGTCATTTTTCAATTCTAATTTTGGATCGATGAACAAAACAGTAGGTTTCTTGCCTGACACAAAAGAATAGTAGAACAGACAAGAACAGTAGATCTGGCAACGCTGTACACTAGTACACCTGCTACACGAGTGGTGGCCATGAGATCGTATAAATTCTGACAGCCATGACTTTCGGTATGGATGCATTTTTAGACCAATCAGAACGATTCTAGCAATGGCGGTAAATTCGAATTGAATTCAAATCTTCTGAAAGAAGAAAATAGGAGTTGGTGACCGGATTTGACCTGCGTTATCTCCTATGCTCTGACGGAACAACTACTTACACAAAGTGCCCGTAAAAATGAGGTCAGTGTGTTAAACAAAAAATTATTTAAGCAAAATTAAATTACGTTTTTTCATGCGATTTTTCATTTTCCATCCCGCACATAGATCATATTTCGTGTATTCATTTATGAAATCGGATTCATCGAAATGATTATGAATGTTTTTTTCAGACCTGAAATGGACGTTTTGGGGACGTCCATTTATATACGTTTTGGGAACGTCCCATGATGGACGTGCTCAAAACTTCCCCAAAAGGTCCCGGACGTTCAGACCTGAAATGAACTTCAACGGGACGTCCTATGCTATCTGGGTATGGGTAGTTTGAGGACCCCGAGGTGCTGCTGAATGATCTATATTCCATGTGTCTATCAGTCTTTATAACCCAGATACAGGGTGATTTATTCACTTATCCAATTTGTTCAATTAAGTAATCATAAATTATGAACCACCCAATAATGTTTTTTCGGTTTGTATCATCTTTGTTCACAGTCGTTAACGATTGACGTAATGAACAAAAGTCCTATTCCAGGGCCAGCTTGGATATCAATATTCTAAAATTCAATTTACAAATTTGGAAAGAGCAGGAAAAAATGAGTAAGACTGAATGTATTTGGTGTTTCCGCATACAACTTTTTTACCTATTAACTTGAGTCTAGATAGGTTTCAATAAAGAGGTAACGCAAAATGTAATGAAAAATAATTTGTCGTCCCCAAATGGCACTTTTCCATTTTTAATCCATAAGATCGTCAATTATTTCTTATTCTCCTAATTTTTGGATCCCAACCTAATCTAAAAACCAGAGGACAAGTCCGTACCCAGTAAACACAAATTGATCTCAGAGATGTCAGTATACTTCACATTTATGATTGAGATCACACCCGCGATATTCGATTTGTGAATCACGTCGACATCTCCAGATCCTCTATTCGGGACCCTTTTGGTCATTTTTCGCTTCACATTCAGATGCCGAATGGGACTCAAAAGTTAGCTGAATGTGACTCCAGATTTCACGTTGAAATTAGACTCACATTGAGGTTACATTATAATCAGAATGTGAGGTTTAGAAGACCATCGACCATTTCTGAATATGAGGTTCTTTTCGATTATTATACTGGTATCGTAGCGTCCCTGGAAGAATCATATTGTGCGTCTCAGAAATGCTACATACACATTTATTGTTGATGTCTCAAGTGAAATCACATCTAGATTGATGAAGGTATTCAATGAGAGGACTAATCGGTCTCCAATCTCTGTCAATTAGATCAATCAAAGGTTTCACAAGGCAACTCGATTTTATTGAAAATTAATCTCATTACACATCAGAAAGTACGTACATGTTATATTGAGCAAAACTACCTAGATATAACAATGATTGAAATTAAAAAAACAGCGCAGGCCTAGATTTTTTCGTATAATTATACAGGGTATATATCTCTATGAGTTAACGCGATGCTTATGGAGAACTGAAAGTAACACAATTCTGAAAATTCGTAGGGATGGTGGAGGAAACATGAACAATCCAACCAAGATATTTTCGTTATTGTGAAGCTCTCGGTATTTCCGGTAGTGACGCCATTTTTTGTTATTTTCTATGGAACACCGTGAATTTTTCAACATTTTTGTATTCCTCTCATGATTTTGATTCAAATTAATGTATCATACTCTTTACCTGGAATGAGGCGTTTTTGAGTTATTCGAGTTTCTCTGGAAAATCGAAAATAAACGCCATTTTCATGCGAATCACAATTTCTAGTGATATGCAGTGATTGAATCGTGAATATTGAAGGTTGAACGTATCACTCACAATAAATCATAATAATTTACAGGGTGCGCAAGAGAGGGGGTGCAGAAAGTGAATGGTAATTCAAACTAGGGCTCATTTTCATTATAGAATTGAATTATGCTATGA